CCCTGCAATTAACACTAGCCTACCATTGTGCTTCCATCTATTCAAGTAGCACAGTACTGTCCTAGGTAGAAATATAAGCACCTGTTAAACAAACTAACAAAATTACAATAACCAGAGCATGACAACACATTCAAAATTCCCATGGCTGTGAGTGACCACTTGTCCTGGTTTCAGCTGGGATAGAATTAATTTTCTTCCTAGTAGCTGGTACAATGCTGTGTTTTTGGAGTATGACAATAAAGTTGATAGCACACTGATGTTTTAGTTGTTGCTAAGCAGTGCTTACACTAAGTCAAGGACTTTTCAGTTCCCCATGTTCTGCCAACGAGGAGGTGCACAAGAAGCTGGGAGGGTCCATAGCCAGGACAGCTGACCTGAACTGGCCAAAGGGATATTCCATACCATGGAGTGTCATGCCCAGTATATAAATGGGGGGAGTTGGCTGGGAGGGGCCAATCACTGCTCAGGGACTGGCTGGGCATCGGTCAATGGGTAGTGAGCAACTGTATTGTGCTTATTGTATTGTGTTTATTCTTGGGTTTTATTCCTCTCTTGCTCTTTGTTCTCTGCCTTACAATTACAATTATTATAATTATTTATTTCAATTATTAAACTGTTCTTATCTCAATCCATGGGTTTTACTTTTTTCCCGTTCTCCTCCCCATCCCATCAGGGCCGTGGGGACACGGAATGAGCGAGCAGCTGCTTGGTACTTAGCTGCCGGCTGGGGTTAAACTGCAACACTGCTGTGGTATCATTTCAAACAGGTGGAAACTTTCTTGTGTCTATTTAATACAGTGCCATAATGGCTCTTTGGCCTCCTTGATCAATCTAATTAACATTTTATAGTCCTGCCTAAAATCTTGTAACACCTGCTTTATCTCCTTGAACAGAAGATTATGAAAGGAATTTTTATTCTAGGTAGGAATGTACCCTAGGCCATAGATTTCTTAAGTGGACAGAAACAATTGCCTGAAGTCCAAAAGCACTTTTGCCCAGATTAGAGGCACATCCAAATTTTTTGCTTAAGGTAGAGTATAAATATGTATCCATGCCTGAAATTTACACTGACACAGTAGAAAGATCAGGTAGTAGCATGAAGTTTTGCAAGTTGTGGGCTTTATTTCTGAAGTTTATAGGAAAAGAAGTAAATGTATCTCTGGTACCAGCAATCAAGGTAGAAATTTACCATATAATATTAAAATTAAAGTAAACCCTCAATTGAGTAAAAACAGAAAAAAGATCTGGTAGCTGGTGGTTATGTTTTCCTTGAAATGCTCAGTCCAACCAGCAGAAGAATGTTAAAAACACCAGAGATCGTGTATCTGTGTATGATACATGAAAAAAAAAAATAATCTAACAGCCCTCAAGTGTTATTCTCCCTCAAAAGAGGAAAAAGACTATTTCGTTGATTTCAGAATCAAAGGATGCAGTTCACAAATGAAAAAGACAAAACTGGAAAACTGAACATGTGTGTGAAGCAATGACCTTGGCCCATGTCAAAAAATAATATCAGCCCTTTGGAGTCCCAGCTTCAGAGAACAGGACATTAACACTGACTGAATGAGACATGCTGGGGAACTGGAAAGCATTGTCTTGTGAAGGAAACACAGGCACCACAAGATTTTGAGTGAGAACATGGAGTGCTAGGAGATCAAGAAGACCAAAGAGACAGATGCAACAGTGTCAGATTCAACAATGAGAAACTGAAAGCTGTGAAAAACTTCTCTTGTTTTCATTTACCTCCCAGGAGCCAAAAGCAGACTGCATAGTGAATCCTACCACAGATTCATAAAAGCTTAATTTTTCTTGAATATCAAGTTCTCACAGATGATATAGGTTTTGAAAACAGAAAACTCATCACATGAATAAAGAAAAAGAACTCATATTATCTACTCTCAATTTTGAAAAATCTGCTTTTCAGTTTAGCTGAAAAAAAGCACTACATATGTACCTGATGTTTCACTCTGTGCAGGGGAAAAAAAAAAAAAAAAAACACCACACCAAAAAAACCCAGTAAGTAGCCAAGATTTTAAAAAATCAAGCTATTTTCTTGCAGAAATAGGAAATGTGTTTGAATTAGTACTAATTAAAGCCATGCTTTAGGCTTAGTAAATTTTGGGTTGCTGACAATGTTGTCATGCATGTTGCCTTAGGTTCTAATCACTCTTTTCTTTCTCTCATCTAATCATTTGTCAAAACCCTGATGGGGAATGCAGTGTCAGATTCAAAAGGAGGAGTTCCCAGCTAAATTTTTTAAAGAGTCTTTCCACAAATAAGTAGCAATGAACACAGCAAATTCGGTGCAATACAATATATCTAGTGAAGGCATGAGGGTACATAAACTGTAAAGAAAGATCAGCACTTTACTGGAAAGCACAATTTGGTAGTGGGAACTGACAAGTCCTAATTTTTTTCTACTGTTTGCACTAGAATATGTAATACAAATATGTTTAAATTATTTAAAAGAATCACAACATTCTGAGAAAGGCTGAATTATTTGAAGAGATACTATAATACATCAGTAATTACACAGCTCTATAGTGCATTATAACCATCCCAGTTTAAAGCTTAAAGCATCCACCAAGTGTAGAATAGTTAACATATACCTAAACAGAATTTAAGTTTGTTCAGTAAAAGTTCAGGTATAGGTCTGGAAATTGCTACATTTGACACCAACAATAGAATTGTAAATTATAACGAAGTTGTATAAAATTATTGTATAAGTGGAAAAATAAGATTTTTGAGTACCTTTTGTGAAACATGTCAACAGAAGGAAAACAAGTAGTTTTTCAAAGAAGTCATTAACAAATCATTAAATCACATACAGTTCACTATTTCTTCTTCCAATATCCAAAAAAATAATATTGATAAGAACAAGAACTCAACAGCTGATGATACCACTCATAAAACCAATTTTTTCTCACAAGATATAGCTTCAACAGGAACACACTAATATTCAAAGTTTGAACAAGACCCTTAAAAACTGGTGAATTTAATAAAAAAAAAAAAATAGAAGTGTTGAAATGTTAATAAAGTATTAAACAGGAATAAGGAATAGTATTTGGTTTAAAGTCTTATTTCCCTCACAGTTTAGCTGAGCGCAGAACATGTCATCTAAATCCAAGGGCAATCCACTTATGCCCCATCAGAGGAGAATACTCTTGGCCAGGAAGAGCCATATCTAGTTTTCACTAGTTCTAAGCAAAGGGAAAGTTTTGTATATTTGAAATAATTAATAGAAGCAGATAAAGCAAACAGTTATTGTCAGTTTAGCTGAGGCCACCAAGCCAGTGGATCAAACAAACAAGTCACTCTACAGTGAAAAACATTTGTGAACACAGCCAAAACCCATTCCAAGATTCTTATGTGGTAAATTTTAACAAGTCTTTCCAGTTAATTGGTTTTCTATTGGTTTTGGTTACATTATAGCTTACAAACAAGAAGAGTGCTGCAAATACCACTTTGCAGAATAATGTTTTAAGACCAAAATAAACATTAATGATTGTAAAAATAAGAATTTTTAACACAATCTTTGAGCAGGTCATCAAAATCAATTGATAAGTAAAAAAATGCAAAAAGGTATACAATATAATCAAATACATTTCTGTTTCAAATATATTTTCAATATGGTTCTGACATATCATGCAGACCCTGACAAATAATCTAGAAAAAGTGTTAAGATTTTATTGTCATAGTGCCAGCTGAAAATTTGAGATGCAAAGTTATTTTTCTTTTTTCTCCCCAAAATTAAATGATGAAATGGAACATGAATCCAAATCACATTTAAATGTGTTTAAAGCCTGGATTGCTATCAGACACTCCAAAAATATGTAATAAAAGCTCATTGTTAAGCATGGTGGCTAGCACATAAGAGGAGGAAGCAAGAATCAAACCTAATCTGTTCCAGACTTTTGTTCTTTTGGAAGTGCTGAGTGGTAAAGGTAAGAGTGTCTGGATAATCTTAAAAAAAAAAAACCAAACAGAAATTAAGTAGTCAACAGATGTTAGATGTACATAATCATGAAGCAAAATCTTCTTATAATATACAGAATTCAAAGTAGAGAGTCCGCTTCAAATATCTGTCTTCAGTTACTAAAAAAGGAAGCAATAAAGTTAGGGTGAATCACTATCCAAGGTTTAAGAGGACAGTAAGGATAGCTTAGGCTAACTACCCAGGGTGAAAACACTGCATTTCGTTTGAAGAAGAGGTAGAAAAAATAGACAAAACAGCATGTAACATACTCTGTTAGGAATACTGTTTGACCAATTGTGTTGTGAGGAAAGGAGTGTATTTAGCGAACGGGAAGCTATCTTAAAGTTGACAATGTATGCTTTTCTTCAGAGCAATCATGAACACTTTCCAGACAAAAAAAACCAACCAAACAAACAAAAACGGGAAGGGGAAGGGAAAAACAGGAAATAAGAAATGAAGAACTGCTGTGCATTAGTACAGCACCTCTTACTCTGCTGATCTTCCAGCTGCCGCTCTCATATTTATATGAATACTGACCTAACTATCTTGTCTAAGATGAGATGCTTGAGGTACCTTGTGGAATAACCACCCAGTTTTGACAGCAAAACAGCACCTTGAAGGTTTTTCTGACAGTCATATAAAGCATCAGCCTCTGTAAATATTATTTTTAATCTGAGATTTTGATCAAAAGAAAGTGAGCTTTCCTTCCAATTTCTAAGAATGTTTTTGGAATCTTTCATGTATGCTTGCTTACATATATTTTTTTTAAATAAGCCTATTTTTGAGCTATACCTTTTAATCATTATCAGTAGTATGAGGAAGATTCAGCAGTGTTCACTTTAAAGCTTGTGAGTACCAGATAGTCTTGATAACACTCCTCATCTGTGGCATACGAAGCTCATATCTTGACACGGAACATATTATATCTGCTGTGTTTCACCACCACCTCTTTGGAGGCTGTACTTTTGAAACTTATTATAGGAGAAGGATTTTATTCAATGTTTTGTTTTATTTATATCCTCAGAGTAACTGTGGGGAAAAGATACGTATTCGTCGTGTGCTGATGAACTCTCCACAGATCATCACCATTGGCTTGGTTTGGGACTCGGACCATTCTGATCTGGCTGAGGATGTGATTCACAGTCTGGGCACTTGCCTTAAACTGGGAGATGTGAGTTTTTTGTATTTGGACACTACCCACAAACCCTGTCTTTCTCATGATAGTCTATAGTAGCAGATTGAGAAAAATAAAAAGTTGCCAGCTTTAGCTTTTTAGAGTCCATAAATAGAGGAATAGAGGTCAGATCCAAGGATCTAATCTGTTTCTGAATGCTTCACAAAACCTGTGAAAGTACTAGTGTAATTGCATATTCTTGAATTTGTGAAATGACTGAAAATTAAAAATTACTCCAGAAAACAAAGCTTGTCTGAATAAAGAAGTATTTTCAAGTGCAAGGAAACTTTGGTTTGAGGTTTGTGCTATTTCTGTGAAAATACATATGTACTCTTCCATTTTGAAAAAAAGAAGTTTATTTCTTCTGAAGACAGAAACTAGTTTGGGTTTTTTTGTTTTTGTTTTAACTTCTTTAAATTCTTTTCATTGAAGTGTGTGCTTGTAACGCTTGAGAGTTATTTATGTGGTTGTAACACTTAAGAGTTATTTGTAACTGAGCAGTCTCTGAGAGATGGTGGCTGGCAATGTCTGATTGAATGATAGATTAAATTAAGTAGTTTTTGGGATCCGGAGGTTTGTCTTCAGAGGATTTACTTATTCTGTATTAGCTGATGCTTTAGAGCTGAGTTATTGGTATACCAAATCATAGCTGTGTCTTATTGTGGCATTGAGGTATTACATTAAAATATGTATATGTACACACATATATAAAAAAAATGCATTGGCCAGTGCACAGTGTACCAAAATTAGTGTGAGTTAATGGAAAAGTGGTTATGAAAATATGGACCTTGCATAGTAAAGCAGTAATGCACTAAAAAATGAGTCCTGTGTATTTTTAAATAAAACACAGTCAATTAGTCAGAAAACAACTTTTTCTGTGTGCTGAATTCTTTTGACCTACTAGTGTCTTCAGTTCATCTTTATTGTGCTGTTGTCATAAATTTGTCTTTGCTTAAGTCAGAATAAATGCCAGCTGTTCATTGTCAGAACTGCTTTGTTTCTACAAAGCAGAGAGGAATGGAAGTTTCAAACAGTATTTGATATAATCAGCAAGCATGAAACAGAGGATACAACTTTTCAGAATAGAACCACACTTCAAATTCTGAAAAGTTATTATATCACTGTTATAAATGTCTGCCTTAAAGTAGAGCCACAGTCTCCAAGACTGATTCAATTCTTGGGTATCTGGTGAGTTGGTAGGAGTCTGTTCGTGGTCTATGTCACTGGGTTTGCATAAACATTGGTTAATTACTTAAGTATTTATTGCCTTGTTTTCTCCATCTTTTGAAGTAAAAACCTTACACCTCTCTATAGTACTTTGAGATCTTCCAACGTAAAGCAGTATGTAAAATTCTGGGTGTTTTATTAACTACTTCTTTAATTTTTCTTTTCTCCCTTCTTGAAGCTGTTCTTTAGAGTAACTGATGACAGAGCAAAACATTCAGAGCTGTATTTGGTGGGAATGATCTGTTACTATGGAAAACACTATTCTACCTTCTTCTTCCAAACGAAAATCCGCAAGTGGATGTACTTTGATGATGCTCATGTCAAAGAGGTGAGAAAATAATGTTTAGAAAAATCTGTTAGAAATTTGTTAGCTTTGTCTGTAGATCCATACTGTTTTCTAGAGATTTTGAGAAATTTTGTCTATTTTTCCATTCAAAATCCATAACTCTGTTGCTCCTTTTTCTGAGCAAAGTTAAACATTCTCAGAAAAGCATACCAGAAATCTCAGAAGCCCTGTTCCTAGTGCTGTTCTTTTGGCTGCCAGTCTTGCTTTTATGCTGTTGTTTGAAAACCTATGATTTGCTTGTGCACACAGCTAACGTACATCTCTTTAAAACATCTCTTGCCCTTGCTGACAAGCGATATAGCTATTTAGTGCCTGCTTTTCGAGTTTTGTTGAAGTATCTGGATGCCAATCTTGCCCAGTCATTGCTGCCAACAACAAATTTTCTGCTTCTTCTGTTACTGCTTGGATGATTTTTTTTTTTCCCTCTTTTCACCAAGCATGAGGTCCTTGACATTAAAGATACCAGTGCTGGGATCTTGGCACACCATTATTACATCCCATTAGTTTGTTTGGCATTATTTCACACCATTTTTTTTTTTTCTTTTTTTTTTTTCTTCTCCTTCTAGTCATGGAAGCACAAAGACGAGAGAGGAAAATTTGCTCCTGTGGTCATGCCAAGCACAGCCTCAAAGGCAAAACTCTAATCCTTGCATTTGTTCGTAGTCACATTT